GATAGATAGATAGATAGATAGATAGATAGATAGATAGATAGATAGATAGATAGATAGATAATGCATGTGTGTGTATATTTTGCCATAAACCTATGAAAAATGAAAGAAATATCACCACCAACACCAAGGTATATTAGCAAAGCAGTCATATTATGTTTGCATTTTTCAAAAAAGAAACAAAGTCAAAAATATCTTAGCTCATGGGAGTTTTGCATTAATCTGACCAGTTCTAAAACTTAAGTTTCTATTCTACTTTATTTTTCAAATGCAAAGAAAATAATTTTGGCACATTAATCACAGCAATGTCCTACATTACTTTGGTGACAATGGACTACTTAGATTTTCCCTTAAAGCACTGCAAAGAGCGCAAAAACTTTTCCTCAGAATGGTATAGCAGGGTAGTCAAAATGGCAACCATTTCGTAGTAGAGATCTTGCAGCCTGAAATTAAACATATACAGTCATTGTATCAGTATTGAAAGACCAAAAAAAGCCAAGTTCATTCATTTTCAGTGCAACATAGAATTATTCTACTCAATTGTATATTCAACACGCAGCAAATTGCTCCGAAAGTCATTTGGCCATGCCATCTCTAAACACATTACTTAACTATAGTGTTCAGGGTAACCATTTCAGATGCTTTAAAAAGAATGTTTTCTATTTGGTCTTAGGATTGGGGACAGTGAAGCATTTGATCATTGCTGAACGTTAGCATGTGAGTAGGATCTAAATCCCAGACTCTTATTTAAGAAAAGTTACACACTTGTACATAGTGGCATCCTGACGATCAAGGGATGCCAAATAGAGGTCAATGAATGGCAGGCTGGCACAGAAGTCTTCCAAGATCATAGGATCTGAATGAAGCAGGCTCTTTTTAAAGCTTTCCGCCATTTCATCAAAAGTTTTGTACTCAGTTGATTTCTAGGGTGAAAAGAGAGCTGTTAAGTTTAATTACTCATTCAGAATTAATTCAGAAGCCAGTTTTGGTTTCACAGAACCAAAAGTCGCTTATCCAAATAGCCACAATGGAAAGTATGGAGTGGGTCATCAGATTTAAAATTTGCCTCATGAATAACCTCATTAATGTTTACAAATTTTGTCCAGTCTCAATATTTAAGGATGGGGGTCCCCTCAAGTTATGCTGTGCTAGCTCAATATGGAGGGGAAAGGGTGTTCCTATGGGAGGGATGAGGGAAGAACATTGGGAACTTGTAAGTATCTGTAATGACAGTAGGGTTACACAAGGCAGGAACTTCATTCCAGCTCCCTAGCTAAAGCAAATAGAGTCGCCTATACAACATATGGGGTAGCAGCAACATAGAAAGATGATAGAGGTGGATTTTAATGACAATGGCAAAGGCTTCATTTCAGACTGAGGTGGGATGGGGAGAGACAAGAGACAAGACAGTGGCAAATCATTCATGTATTTTACCAAGAAAACCACATCAACCAAGTGATTGACAAAATGATGCCAGGTGATGGGTTCTCTAAGATCAGATGGCACTCAAACTGATATTGTGAAACAGCTGAGGAACTTTCAGAGTACTAATGATGTTTATGATGTGACTGAATTAAAGCTTTTGAAATTTCTGGTTGCTGATGTTGGCCTGGGATGAAAAGACATCCCAAAGCCACAAAGACAGAATTTCAGCAAGAACAGGGAACATAAGATGTGTGAACGTGAGAAAGCTCAATACAGTGAAAAATGAGATGAATCAACTACAACGAATGAACGGGAAACTTGTCTATTGAAAAAAATATAAAATACAGAGCTTACCTGCAGATTGAACAATTCAGATATTTCTTCCTGTTGCCTTTTTAAGATGGCCTGCTTCTTTGCAATCAAAGTAACCTGCCTTTCTTCTGTCAGCTTTTGCTCATATTGCTCAGTTGAGGTCTACATAGATTAAAGGATGTTGAGACAAAGGGCCCACTTGGTTTTAGCTTCCTACTAAGAATGGCCTCACTGGCTGGAGATGACAGAAGAAAACTACAGAGCAGAATTCATTTACCGCAATCTACAACCATACTGGTTAAGCCAATTCTGAGTAACAGTAGTTTAAAATCAACTGCCGCATTGGCCAACAGCCATGTCTCAAATGATAAATTGTTTTCACTTTGCAACTTTAAGGAACTTCTCTCCATTGTGTAGTCTCTCTCCTCAGTTTCTAGGTTACCTAGGACCTAAACAAGACTTAATTGTACTATTATTTTGACACAATCATGTTTGGATGACTGTAGAAGGCACTGTAATTTACTGGTAGGAAAACAACCACTGAGATGGCTTATTATTAGTGGATAAACATGTCCAATCACATACAATGTTTAAAACATAATATTTTCATTAAGAGCTGAAATTCAAAAATCTGAAAAACAACTAGACTGCAAATGTGTGTGTGTGCATGTTTGTGTGTATACACACATACAAATACTGTATATAAAAATATCTGAAATCGTTGTTCTTATTTATTAGATTTATCATTCATTTAGCTTTGAGGTGACTCTAATTCTTCGTTCATATCTACTGGTTGTCTGAAGTTCTACATACCAGATCTGGTAGACCTAACATAAACACTTTTCAGCTAAGGTAAACCAGAATCAAACAGGGGGTTATATACAGTCCACATTATGTTAAAAAAAACCCTCAAAATTAAAAATATAGAAAAATAATATCCCAAAAGAGATTTCTACTGAACAGATTAAATACTTTAATTTTGACGTTCAGTAACCCTGCAATAGTTGACATTATTTTTTTACCCAATGTCTATTTCTAGTCATTGGATTTGAGTAGAAATTTTTAAATCCCATATAAAGGTCACTTACCTGGATATCCATAATGACAACTCCAATAAACATATTGAAAAATACAAAAAATCCTAGGAGAATGAACACTATTGTGAATGTTCGGCTTGTAACAAACTTTCTATTATCCAATTCCTCCTGCAAGTCTGTCCATCCATCAACCTGAAATTTATCAATTGAACATTACAATCTGAAGATACCTTTTGTCAAGCATCTGATAAATTATTTCTCTAGTCCAGAGATGGGACACTATGGCCCCTTTATGACATGGCTGGCTCAGGAATTCTGGGAGTTGAAGTCCATAAGTCATAAAAGGGCCATAATTCCTCCACTACTGCTCTAGTCCAATGCATTCCCTCTCTCCCACAATACAAACATACCTAATCAGGTATAAATTGATTGCACTTATTCTAAGTAACAAAAATTACCAATCAGGTAATAAAAATATTTCATATATTTCACTGCACTGCTGCATTTATGCCATTTCAGTCATTTTGGTGTTTGTTTTATCTGTTATCTCCTATTGTGTTAAAAAAAGATTAAGTAAGATAAAGACTACAGTATTAAGCAAAAGCTGAGGAACATGAGAAAGTAGAAATGTTCCCATGTTAGGAGTGCTTGCAGGACGCAGGCCAAAAAGTCAAGATAGTGGCCACAACCAAAATATCAGAAAGCATGTAAAAATGGGGTAGAGCTTGGTGTATCATTATGGTTGGTGTCTTGATGTTGTTGTTGTTTTTACCTCCTGGCCTATGTCCCACTGTGGGGCCTTCTATTAATGTGTGTTTGATCCTTCTGAAAAGAAAAGGGTAGACTAAACCAATTTGGCCTGATCCAGAGAAATCATGGTTACTCCTACGTGGGTATTAGTGTGCTCACTCTGCAAGCTAAGCTAATAATGTTCACAAAGGCTACTTAGACATTATGATGATACTTGCAGAGGATTATCTTCTTACAATGCAAATTAAATCAAACAGTTCTAGCAACTACACCAGCTTGATTTAATCTTAGAAAAGCAATTAGTGATATTATAGTCTGAATTTTCAGCAAAACAAGTAATTCCTTAATAGGTTCTCAAAGTATGAATTGTGTACCACTGGAACTTCAGAGGTAACTTAGAGAGGGGTTACATTTAAAAAAAAAAAGCCTAGTCATGCATGATAGGCAAAGTTTGAACACTGTCAAAGCTCACCCTGGGCTTTGGACCTTGTTTATCTATGTAAGTCCACAAAGCTCGAGTGATATCCAGACTAAAATTTAGTTCTTGAAAATGGCTTAAATCAAAGCAAACAGGGTTGGAGAAAATACTAAGTGCAATCTTGACAAGTTGATCTAAATAAACAAGGTCTTGCCCTTTGTTTCCCCTTTTATAAACACTCAGATGCTCTGTACTCCCTCTAGCTGTATTCCAATTTTTGTCTATCTAGGTTCATTTTGTTGGAAAACTAGCCTGGAGAAATAAAGTCTTCAATTTCGGTTCCCATTCTAAAACAATAACATTAGTCTAGCAGAGTTGACCAACCTGTGAAATGCACAAAAATTACCGTTACTAAGCTGAAGAGTGTAAAAAAGGCAGCTGCTAAACTGCCCCAGTTCTGTGGATCTCCATGTTGTTCGTCTCCATACAAACCATGTCCCAGAACAGCAAAGATAAATATTAGCAAGAACAACAAGACAAGGACATAGATTACATTTTTCACAGTCTGTCCCATAGCTGCCAGTAGATTCTGTAGAAGGGAAGAACAAAAGAAAAGAATACAAGTGAATACAATTTATGTAATTTTATGTTGATTGCTTCCAACCTGATGGTCTCCAGGTGCATGAGAACAACAATTTTCAGAGCTGCCAGCCACCTCTGGAGGATACCAGGACAGGAAGGATGATTTACAGCTAGTCCTTAGTTTAGGACCATTCCTTTAGTGACTGTTTGAAGTTGCGATGGTGCTAACAAGTGACTTAAAATTGCATCACTGCATGAACAACTGTGGTAGCATCCCTGTGGTCAGGTAATCATGTGCTGAGTAATGGGCATGTATTCATAATGGCTGCAGTGTCCTATCATGTGACTGCCATCTCAGCAGGCTTCTAACAAAGTCAATAGGGAAGGGGGGGGGAGATAACAAATTACAATCACACGATGTTTTACATAATGACTGTGTCAAGCCCAAAATTGACATATACAGTATGTAGCCATTTTAGTTAGGCTTAGTATATATTATTTTTCTTACTTTCTCTTTGGCGGACATTGGGGAAGGGTTTCAGGCTTGCCATATTCCTAAGGGGAGAGAAGTGGAGATAGGGACAGTTGTTTAGGATAGGTGATTCTTCTTCCCGTGGGAAAATGAGCTAACCGTGTTCAGGCACCTTGAGGTGCAGATTTATGACATCAAGCAACGTTGAATTACTTCTGTTGGAGAATGTGGCTTTTGTTTCTAACTTCTGATATTGTGGGGTAATTTCGGGTTGTGTCAGATCCGGAATAACCACGGACTTTGCCAATTTGATGCTTTCCTAAATAAAAGAAATTGTTTCAGGAGATGGACTTTGCTCATTTCTTTTTTAAATGGATTTCATCACTTGGAAACCTGACAGACTGTGGCAAAAAAGGTGGCAAAATTGGGGGTGGACATATGACACCTCACATTGACCACACCATTTAATAAAGAGTTTCCCTTTCCCAATTCTGTTGTAAGTTGAGGAGTATCTCTACATGCAGAGGGGGTGGGGGAAGGAGGCTCTAAACTAAAAATAATGGAACGATAGGTTATAGAGTTGGATCTTTGCCCATCTGAAGCAAAGTTGCCATCTTACACAATGATCAACAATGGCATGGCATGTTTAATTGTGAAAAAAGAAATTACAATAAACTAGCAGCCCCATAGGCTACTTCAGAGAAAACAATTTAGGGACAGCATATAAATCACACCTTCTTGAATTCTTCCAATCCCTTAAAAATAGTTCCATTTTGAATCACATGCCTGGGAGGGAGGACTTAAAATGTCAGCAACATTTTGTGCCACTGTTCAGTGCTTGTTATATAGGGGTACATTGGGGAATTTTTTCTGAGTGTTTTTTCTCCACAGTCCCCAGCCTGATTTAGCCCATTTTTTTAAAAAAAGGATTTTTTCTTTTGTTGGATTCTTCTCCCACACTAAATTTGGTCCCATTCTATTCTCTTTTCTTAGATTGAACTCTGTCCTCTTTACGTAATTTCTTTCCAACATTCTGTTGAGTTGGAAATTATTTTTTAAAGAGTGAGATGAATCAAGGCTTCAAAGCTGCATGCAAGTTAGTCTTTGCCTTTTCCAGTCATTGCTTTTATTTATTTGGCCAGCACATGTGAACATTATAATCATCATAATGAATAATAGTACCATGTGCTTAAGTTTAGAACTTAGAAGTGGATTCTGGAGTACAAAAAGTCATATGCAAATATGTCTGAAATGACAGCTTGTGGAGTTACTGTCTCAATACTAAAAGGCATGGGAGCTGCTTTGATCTGACATCACAAAATAATTTCTTTGCTATATCCAGGGTTTCCAATGAGCAGCTTATCCTGGCTTTGCAGAAATCCATTAACTTTTTATCCATTAACTCCAAATAGTCCAACAAATGGATTTGAGATTTGAAGTGTGAGATGTTTTTGGCACTCACAGATGTTTGTTCTGAAAGAACTAGCAGATTGCATAGGTTCCCTCTGGCATCTGTAATTTGGCATCTGTATGCTTATAGTAAAGGAAAGGTAGCAAGCCTATTCTTTAGTCAATCCCTAGAGTGAAATAGTATGCAGGCTGCATGGGCTTTCCTGCAATGTTAGCCACAATCCATGACCAACACAATGAACTCAAGCAAAGTTCTTAAGTAAGAATTCACATCTGTAACTGAAGAATCTACCACACTGATGTCATTTTTCAGTTCTTTATAAGAATTAGTTCTGTTTGGAGTTCTTAGCAGATGACCCCATGCTTTTTAATATTTCCTCTAAGGGCTTATTAAGTAAGAGTTATTACATTGCAAAAGACCAAGACAAATGACATCTAATAGATATTCTTAAAGAGTGGGAACAACAGCACTGTATTGTAGAAATTTTGTTTAAAAAGTAGAGGTTACCGTCCCTGTCCTATTGTCCCCATTTATTCATACCTATTTCCTGTATTCTTACTCATGTTTATACTTATACCTATTATCTTGTAAGCAATTGACAAATCCAATCAATCAATCAATAAATAATAAAAATAAAAATAAATTACTACTTCTGTGAGGTCCTTGGTACTTCCTGAGCATGACTACTTTCTTGCAGACATTTCATTACCAAACCAGATAACATAATCATTGCTAGATGTTACCTATTTAGTAATGAAATATTGGGTGAAATAGTGACCCAACACAATACCCTCAACTTGACACAACCCTCACCTGACATGACCTCCCCATCACAAGACCTACTGACCACACAAAGCCCTTACAAAAAGGAGAACACCGACACTGACATCCCCTAAACTCTGCTGAACATGTTACCTAACCTGGTAATGAAACATTCAGAAACCAACCCACAAGCTCGGAGAATGAACCTCCACCCTCATCCTCCACTTGAGTTGCAGACATTTGCCACTATTGCAGAGAGAAAGGCATTCCAATATGTGATCCCTTCCCAAAGCCTACAGGTGAATCTTGGCATTAATATTGACCACAACATCACATAAGTATACAAGACAGAGAGGTCCCTTCTGAACAGGAAAAGGAAAGTTGTATCTGATTACTTACAGTTATCCCTGGACTGTAGTAGAGTAGTTTGAGGACGCGGAGAGCTTGGAACCCTTTCAACATGGTGAAAATATGGTGTCTTTCGGGGTTGCTCTGGTCAATGGTGTATGGCAGGTAAGCAAGGAGAAGGACAGAAGCATCAAAACGCTTATAACCATCTTTCCAATAATTGATCGGGTCCAAGTAAAGGCACATTAGAAATTCTGTGGTATAGATGGCTAAAATGATCAGATCTGCTACCTAAGAAAGAAATTGTTTGTAAGTGATATTGTTCAAAGGAATATGCTTGCATATATGTGTGTGTTTGTATACACACACAGACATAATGTATGTGTATACATTATACACACATGATTCTTTTTCAAACCTTATAAATTAGTCTTTTTTTCAGGTTTGTCTGCTTATCTACCATCCAGTTGAAATATTTACTAGATTATTTAATTTTAGTGTTCTGCCGAAGAATAGTTCGAAGTAATCGATTTAAGAATGGTGGAAACAAAGTGTCCCTGTAAAGTATCCTTGACAGTTGTGCCATCTGACTTCATTTTTAACAAATTATTATTTTAATAAAAAATTAAATAAATAAATGAGAAGTTGTACAAAGCAGAGCAGCCTTTAACTCTTGATTCCAGTGGCTTCTAGACTTCACAAATAAGTCTTTACCTTAGCATAGGGGTGTCAAACTCACAGCTTCACGTTGTCATCACGTAACGTATCGTGACTTCCCCCCCCCCTTCGCTATGATGGGGGTGGGCGTGGCCAGCACATGATGCATCTAGTCCGTGGGCTGCAAGTTTGACACCTTTGCCTTAGCAGATAAATGCTGAGCACGTGCAGCTCACTCCTTCCTTTAGGAGTGGAGTTTCCTGTTCAGAAACACAAAACTGGGGAGGCAGACAACATAAAGGAGGGAGGCTAGGAAAATGGCAGGACACAACCTCACCAATTTGTAATAATTTGGTGGCCATCCAGATTATTACAGGCTAGATCCGGCAAGTCTAGCCATGAGTTCTTCCATGAGAGGTATCTAATAACTAGGCCTCTTAGAGTAATACTAGTTGCATACCAATGTGAGTGAATCAATCAATCTATCGCTCAGTGAATCTTCAAGTTTCAGAGCTGAGACTGAAATTCTGGCTCTTTCAGTTTTTTAAAAAAAGACATCCTAAGGAGACAAGTTCTGCATAGGATTGTGATGGCGAACCTATGGCACTCATGCCGGAAGTGGCACGCAGAGCCATTTCTGCCAGCTCATAAGCCGTCGCCCAGAAGAGATGCACTGTGTATGCGCGCGCACCTCCCGACAGCCAGCTGATTGTTGGGTATCTGCCATGCTTGCACGGAGAGTGGGGCATGCAGGGGGGTCACATGCGCATGTGCAGGGGGGGTCATGCACACGCTGCATTATGGGTGCAGGCACGCATGCACATGCGCATACGCATACACACGCGTTTTTGGCGTGCAAGGAAGAAAAGGTTAGCCATCACTGGCATAGGAAATGGTATCCACCCAATGTCTGGTTGTCTAATATACTGTTAAATTTTAACGTAGTTCTATGCCTCTTGGAGAGTAATTTCATGTTAATGTATGAAATGATGCAGCTCTATCAGTTCTAATTTTTATTTTTAGTCTACTGGAAGGTGATAATGTTGTGTAATGATCTGGGTTTAATAAATAAGCAAAACTACCTGACTCCCATTTTCAAAGCCCTTAACAGATTATTTATTTAAAAAATAAAGCAATGAACAGACTTCTTGACATTAGCCAGGCTTTTCTCTCCTCTTCCGTGCCAGCAAAATATAATTAAAGCCAAGAAGTTTATGTTTATTAGCTCCTGTCAAGTAAGTTAAGAGATTCAAGGTATGTAAAAGATAAATCCTTCTCAAGAGGAAGGCTACAGTAAATCAGGACAAAAGAGGTTATTGCAGTGCAAACATTTTCATTTCAAGTTCATATTCTTGGAGCTTATAAGCAAAACACATTCAGTTCTAAAAATATTTCTAGGTAAAGAGAAAAGTATACCCATTACTAGGATGGAAAAA